TCTGCCATCGTATTAGACACTGTTTCCGTGACAGGTCTACATGCCTAATACGTTTGTGATTCGGGGGTTTCTCCGCCTCCTGCTAATTCGCTGCTAGCGCGAGGGACTTAGAGCCTGCGAGAATGAGTCCCCTCCCACTAAATGACGTGCCGAGCGTGCCGCCATCATTAATCAGCTGTCAAACACCAAATGGGCCGTTCCAGCCACCGGCAGCTCGGCACTCCATCAGCTGTCTCCCAGAAAGGCTCCATAGCCCCTAGCTGTCAGGCACAAGCCTCAGCTGTCACTCCGGTGATGTCCGTCGCTGTCCCCGACGTCGTCAAGGCCCTTCGAGCTCATCGTCCTCGACGACGAGCTCGCATATCTCTGTCAATACTATAGCTATAACTCCGGAGTTTTTTCCATCGTGTGCAAAGACGTTAAAGGGGTGCATTCGATTGATATCAACAAGTGTAGGTACAGTGTTGATAAGTAATAAAAGAAAAGAAAATTGCTAGTGACCTCCCATGACAATAGGCTCGATACAGCCTGCTGATGACGACCAGAGAAGGTGCCAAGCCACCGCCTAGGACATTCTGCGTAATGAGATGGCGATTGAATCATTTAGACCACTGAACATACCTTTCAACAGCTGATCTACTCGCGATCAGAGTCCTCGATGGTCTCGGGGGAAATCGGAGCGCGGCGGGTGCCCGAGGCCGACGTCTTCTTGCGCGGCGCAGCCTTCGAAGCCTTCGCCTTGTTGGCGGCGCGGGAGGGCCCAAGGATACGACGCCTCTTTGGGGCGCGCTTGCCATCCAGGGTTTCCCAGCGGCATTCCTCGCTGTCCAGCGCGTCCCGAAGGCGGCGAATGGCGCCTACCGTGCCTATCTTGGAAGGGCGGACAAACGGTACGCCTGCCGGCCAGCCGACGAGGCGCGCGCGGTAGCCTTGGACGACTTTCTCCTCATAGCTGTCGTAGTACATGCGTGCGCCGGAGTGTGTGATAGAGCCTGCGAAGCCGATTAATCTCGAATATTGACCAATAAATCCCATAGAACTCACGCAAGCCTTCCTGGATAGCCTCTGTGCACTCCTTGCGAACGTTGCCAAGGGTGTCCGCAGCCTGTGCGCGCTCGACAAGGTCTACTCGTGTTAGTCAGGCGACACGATACATGATGACAAAAACTTACTGGCACTCTGATTGCACCCCCACTGCTCGAACTTGTGAAGGACTTCATCCGACGAGAATCCGAGCGCGCCCTCGAAGAACTCCTCCGAGTTATCGGTCGCGTAAAAGAAGGGCTGGATGGTGTCATTGATATGACCGCGCACAATCATTACAGCGACATAAACGCCCGCACGCTTCGCGGCACCGTCGGCCTATAAAAACAATTAGGACTAGTATAAATGGAGCCGCCATTGCATACCAGCTCAGCCATTTGGCGCCCAGTGTTGTGAACGTGCATGTTCGCGGCGTGGTTGGAGCAACGGACAGAGTTGTCCTTCTCCTGGCGGTACTGCTCGAGGGAGTTGAGCATGAAATCCTTCTCATCACGCGTGTAACTCTTCGTCTTGATGATGGCGTGAAGTTTTTCAAGCCTCTCCTGCCCGGTTGACTTATCTGGAGAAAGGGTTAGTACAGCTAGATACAGCGCAACAATTACATACCGCCAGTGTTGTCCAAGCGGATCTTCTCGTGGTGCATGATGGCGTTATAGAGCTGCTTCTCGCGCTTCTGCTTGGCGTTGAGGCGAACGGCGAGGAGCTCCTCGACCTTCTTGATGTCTACCTCATGCTTGGCAGCGCAGCGCTTGATGTCGTCCTTGGTCGGCAGCATAGCCTTGACGTCGGCGGCGAGGGCGGCGTCGCGGATCTCCTTCTGGAGGCGCGCGACCTCGCGTGCTTCCTTCTGGGCAGGTGTGAGCGGGGTACGACGGGCCCGAGTCTTGATGACCGGGTTCATCGGGTTGCGTTCCGCCCAAGTCGCACGCGACGGAGGGGCTAGGGGGTCGGTAGACGGCTCCTCGTCACCCGACTCCTGGGATAGCTGCCAGTTGCAAGCTGCCATGGCTGCGTCCCGGGCGTGCGCGGACGCGTCGGACGCGTTTTCAGCGACTGCGACGGGCACAACGGGAGGAAGGGGGGGCAACGTGTTGTCGGGCACAACGGGAGGAAGGGGGGGCAGCTCATCGTCGAGCAAGCCGCTAGACTGCGAGAAGTCGCTGAACTGGAAGGCCTCTGCTGCTTGGAAACGTTGATGGGGGGCCATTGCGTAGGAGTGCGTCGCAGGGAGTTGGATAGAGGCCATCATGTCAGTGAATTCACCGGGGTAGCGCGCGTATCCTTGGTAATCTTGACCCTCAACGTGCAGTTGCTCGTTGTGAGGGTAGGTAGGGAATCGGAAGGTGAACTCCTGTTGGTCGGGCATGTTTTCTTGGGGAAGCGTAAGGTGGAAGAGTCGCGATGAGGCGAGAAAGCGAAATTTTATCACTTTTATACCATCAGTGACAATAATAATTAAAGAAATAAAACCTTGCAAAGAGGAGTCGCCAAACAAACGACACGCGCTGCCTGCAATTTGAGCGCGCGCTTCCACTGATACCACGTGATCTTGGCCGCGGGCGCGTCTTTTCGAGTGAGTACAAACTATGAACCAGCGTAGACGCGAGCAGCCAGCTAGGAATATGAATGAATTGGAATCAGTACATGTACCATCATTCGATTGTTACTGACAGCTTGCACCTACCACCACAGTGTGGAATAACAGACCCTGAAGAAATGCCATAGACAAAGCGTCCCAGTCGCGCGTTGAGAATTTACGCACAACTTCGGCAAAGCCCTGTAGAAGAGTACTCATCGTGTGAGCATGAACAGCGACTATCGATCAGGAGAGACACCAACGATCTATGGACCTGCAACAATGATATCTGATACCATTGATTGAAAACGCAACAGTCGCAAAGGGCTGACTGGCAAAAACGAGTCACCAGCGGGCGGATGTATCAGAATTTAGGACGTAACTCACGAGAGCCCATCCAGTTCACGCCTTCTGCACTAGAGTATGCGCGTTACCCTTACTTACGTTGACGCTATTGTCGAGGGCTGCCAGTGGCAGAGGCGTTGGAGTCGAGTCAAGAGGTTAGCAAAGGGACAAACCCGGCGAGGAAAAATGTGGCCGTCGAGGGTCAAGTGCTCCCTTCGTATAGCTATATAGGCTTACTATGTGACCGCTCCTTTTGCTGAGAGAGGTTTCAGGGTACACGCTAGTTTGGTTTTGGAGGTGTCTTCAAGCTAGTATTGGGCTCGTCGTTAGTCTGGGTGAAGCAGCAACGCGAGTAGGTGCCACAGGGAAACTCACCAGAAATCGCCTGCTCTACCATGTTGTCCTTGCATGTTGTTCAGAGCACGGGACACGACTCGCTCACCAGTCAAGTGCCCAGCGGTCGAAGTGGGCTGGCTGCGATCGAGGGGGGTCACAATTTGCTTCCGTCTGACAGGTGTCAATTGACGTCCCGACGCCCAGGCCTCGGCCTCAATGATAATCCTGATGACTAAGCGAGGTATGTGAGAACGGACCTTGGTCTCACGCTCGCTGCGCTGCGCGTTCAGCTCATTCGGTCGGCCAACAACTTTCTATATAGCCCGTTCGTAGCGACATCCTCAAGAGCTTTAGGCCCACATCGTCGATCGGTCCGTTCACCTGTTCCTTAGAAGATCTGGGCATACTAACCCGTTTTTCACTCAGAAGATGGGCCGCAATCCCTCTCCTCTTTCAAAGGCCGAGCGACAGCGACAAGCCACCCAGAAGTACATGAATCAACCGGAGTATGTATCTAACTCAGGCTATGTCCGCTCTTGCACTAACCTAATTACAGTGTTAAAGAGAGGACAAACGCAAAGGCTCGGGTACGATCAGCTAGGTAAGCTGTCTTGCTGGACGTTCTCGATGACGTTTGCTAAGCCTTGATCTTCAGAAATCGGGCGAGGTTTGTGGTCTGTCGTTCATTATCTGGGTCGCTGACATCCCGCAGGCGTCAACAGCTAGCATCGATTCCATCTGCGCGAGCTTGCGCCCGTCGCATCAACGTCCCTGATCACACTACCAGCCCCTCTGCCCCGGTTGATCCCATCGACATAACCGACTTCGATATGGTACTCCGTGCATTCAAGGCGTGGACATACGACTGGGGCCCTGAAGAGTCATGGCTGAGAAAGCAGTGGCTCCTGATCAGCAGGACTTTGAGTGCGGGTGAGTCCGTCTCTGAGCTTCACGAGGACTGGAGAGCACACGCTCAGAGCGGGTGGGCCATCATGAACGCGTTGCGACACTTGGTAGACATCGCATCTAAGGAGTGTTCAGGTAGTTCGTCGTATAATACACAGCTATTTGACATAGCAGCAGCATTGGTCTCCGAGATACGGTTTTTCGAGCGAGAGGATTCTCGCAGGATCTTATTAGAGGACGGCTCGTTGTTTTAGTTTGTCAATATGTATGTGCTGCGACGGCGTGCAGAATCGATTGGTCATACAGCCTGAATCACCAGGAAACGAACGAGACACTTGGGCTCACAAAGACATAAGTATAGCGAACGCATAGCGAACGCATAGCGAACGCATAGCGAACGCATAGCGAACACGTAGCATACAGGATGCAGCACGGTATTGACGCCGTATTGGCACCGAATCTATAGTGAATTCATAGCGAACTGGTCCATGGCAAATCACGAAAGCTGCTAATAACATACTTGTAGCGCCTAATTAAACGCTAATGTGACCTATGACGGATGCTTTCCCTTACAGAACTACTAATAGATGATTTAAACGTGTATGTCCAGGTGTTACAATGTGAACGAACAAGTTGTGGTTTGCCATGAACTCAACGTGCACAAGTCGCGAGATGAGTGTACAAATGTGATCATACATGTCCATGGCCTCATACTAATCTACAGGACAAACTGACGACTCCCTTTCCCATTTTTTGTAGACAAACGTTCGATGAGTTTAGATTACGCTCACTCACGCACATGTATAACGGAGAGATCAAGACATTTGTTATTGGCTAATGTATGTATATATACTACACTAATTTACCTGCCGTCGAAATGAGTTGCGAGTTAGCTGTCCCTACTAGGCCAGAAGCGTGAACCACTCTTATAGATTGCCCATACCCTCCCTTTGTGATATGCTCTAGTGTACGCGTCGAATGCCTGCTGCCGTTCCGCAAACTTGACGTGTTCGGCACCTGGAATGTAGTGGGTGCGCTCGTTAGCTTCGGGCCTATAATGTGTTAGTTGCTTGATGCGAAAGAGCTGCATAGAGACTCACCACGTATAGAAGATACCGGTCTGTAAGCCTTTATACACAACATAATACCGGCGAGGGGGTTTACCGGGCGGCGGAGGAGATATGAGGTGGGGTGGGGTGACGTTCTGGCCGCTGAAGTCTCGTCGGACGTGGCCATGAAGCCATGCCCGCACGACCTCACTGCGGTTGTCATTTCTTTCTCTATGATAAGGGTTAGCCCGAGGAATGCATGCAGGAGTGTACGTACCTTGAAACACCCGGCTGAGGAGCCATAGCCTGAGTAGGCGGCGAGGAGCCTCCCGAGCTTGATGAAAGTGTTTGCGAGGTTGCCTTCGGTGTAGAAGACACACATTTACCCGCAGGCGCCGGAGATACGTGGGCTGCGTTTAAGCTCGAACGTGGATAGGCGGCAGGGGTCTTATCTGCACGAGGGCGACTAGTTTGTGCACCTTCTCCTGAGCGGGGCTGTGTGAACGATGCCGGTTGCTCGTGTGTTTCTACGACTGTTGTGACGACAGTTTTGGTCGTTGTTGTGGTTTTCGTGGTCGTGATACGCATGGCGGGCAGACGTGTGGTGGTGCAAGCGCGACTCAGTGAACGGTGGATTGATGATCAACAGGAGCCTGGTATCACGTGAGCCCCACGCTGGCCATGTGCATGAACGCGGACCCGTGGTCCCCAAGATCTACAGAACATGGTAAACGGAAGCAGCAATGGCAAAAGAAAAAGAACTACCAGCAGGAAAATTCATACAATCACCCCGTCTCGAGATAAGGATGGATTCAAGATACCATCGAAGCATGGCCACATCCGAGCTGAAGACATGAAAAAGGAGGCGCTTCAGCGTCGGGAGGCGAGGTTGAAAGGTACATGCTAATTAACATGCTGGCAACGTGCGTACTCATCTTTGTTAGAAATGTCTGAGAGGGAGAAGGAGCGGGAACGCCGAAATCTTGAGATGTTGAGGGACATCGGCTCGTCGGATGGAGAGGATCATGCCGCCGACTTCAACGCGGACGATGTTTTCGACGGGCGAGAGGAACTGCTGATTAGCCACGCCGGTGGGGAGCTCGAGATGTTAGCCAGTGCTCAAGAACAGAAAAGGTCAGAATAACACACTCACCTGCAGTCTTACTAACTTAACACTGCTGCAGGAAGCGTCGTGATACGCGCTCTCGCCGGTCGCGTACTAAGAGGCGCGACGAGGCCTTTCTGTTGCAGATGGAAGAGCTCGCGGAAGCCTATATTGAATGGGACTGGAAAACCCACCAGCTATCGGGCAAGGGCGTGTCCTCCGAGGGCGCACCCTCACAGGGTGATGCAGAGGTGGAAGAGATGGTTGAGAGCATGAAGAGCTTGAAGGTGGTCGACATCTTTGGTAAGCCTATTCAGTTCTTAAATTAAACTAGCGCCCACAACACGTACAGCCGTGGATACATCCACTTTCGCTATTCCCCCAGGCATGCGAGTCGCACCCGCGCTCGTGAGAGAGGGTCTTATCCCTTCTTCTCCGAATACGCCCTCCATCGCGTTCACAATCAAGTCGTTACAGCTCTACTACGTCACAAAGATGCGCACGCCCCAGATTTCAACGCAAAGCTACATTAAGTCGCTCTGCGACTTACACGGAGTACGAGACTGTTTCCTCCCTCTGCTCACTGTTTCTGATTTTTGTGGAAGGTGACATTCAATAGCAGTCTTCCCCGACACTTCGCGACTGCCTACGACATCTACATCCAAGTCAAAAATAAAGTTGCCCAACTTGTGCGACAGGCTCTTCGGCGAGACGCGCCGGACTGGCGGTTAGCGAACGTCTGTCCATGTTGCACGTACCGCCTTGACGACGAACCCGAGCTCAAGTACTCAATGTTTTACACGATGGACGGCAACGATTCGCTTAAGCGAGTGTTCAAACGCTCACAAGACATTTCTGATCCCTCAGGAACGTCATCGGAGCTCCCGTCATCACTCGCGGTGCCTCCGGATAGATACCTCGATCGTGAGGCTGTCGACAAGTGGGCCAACGGCGCGCTGGATAATCTCATCAGCGATGAGGTGAGTTTTTCTTCTGATATTGTATTTGAACCCTCATTTATTCTACGTTTACAGGGCATGGAAGATAATCCGTGTGCGGGGCGCTGGAAGAACATGAAGGACGATATCACCAAGAAAATGTGGTCAATATTTGACGAGACGGGTATATTTTTGGCCGTCTGCAGACATGGATTCTCACTCCTCATCGCAGACATGGTGAGGAGCGGTGAACTGTGAGTAATCTCCCTCGTGTATTAGTTGGTTCTAACGTACCTACCGCTTTCAGTGCAAAATACCCCCTCGCCGTTGTCGAGAAACTCATGAAGACATTCGGTAGCAAGCTCGGCGGCGGCTTCGACATTGGGTGTAAGTTCAAGTCCACGCTAGCCAAGTCTCGTTTGGGCCCCCTCGCTCGAGAGTTCGCCCACACCTGTCTGGTCGGCGCATTCCACGGCCACGCACACCGGCGCCTCTGCCAACTTGACCACCTCACTACGTATGTTTCCGGGGTCGGCCTCGAGGACTTCGAGACCTGCGAACGGAAATTCTCCCGGTCAAATTCGCTTGCAGCACCCATTCGCCACGCATCAGTTTTCCACCGGCAACAATCGATTGATCTTTTCTTCGAGTACACGGACGAGTTTGACGTGTATCCGAACTTATGTAAGTGCCCGCTTTTTCGCGTGATTACTTGGTCTAATGGTCTACCCAGCACTCTTCCTTCTCAATAACTACAAGCAGGCCCTGGAGATCCTCGATGACGGCGTCCCACGCCTTGCAGCTTCGATGTCCCACCTCAAGATCAGCGACGCGAACGTGTTCTCCAGCTGGTTAGATGAGGAGAGAACATACCTGAAGGGTTTGGAGAAGGAGCCCATCGAAGAAACGCTCCAGATGACCTACTGGCAGCGGCTTACAAACCTCCAGCACGCCAAGTGAGTTCCTGCATTCTTCGTGACCTCAACCCGCTAACACTTCTGTGAAGGGAAGACCTCGCGGCTCTTCCCCAGTTCACGTTCAGCATCACCACCCCCGAGACTGCTGGATCAAAAGCGCCGAACGCGAAGGGTGCGAACTCAGCACAAGCTCTACATGTACGCCGCCGGCATGCCCAGGAGAAAGTTGACCGTGAATTCGAGGCAGTCCACGAGTTGGAAGTCCAGCTCGGCGTCGTAGAGCGATGGCAGCCGGGTTCCCCCGAGTGGATGGAGGCTGGGAGGCTGGTGGCCATGCGATCATACCAGCGGGCGCTCGACAAACTCGAAGGGCTCATCGTCGCTCGCATCTTCGAGATGTCAGGCCTGGATAGACCCGGCCGAGGTACGTTAATCCCTGTAGCCTGTGCCCCAATACTGACACCCTTGCAGGATATGCGATGCGAAAGCATCTCAGCAAGGCTCTGAAGACACGCTCGGCAGCCATTCATTCCGCCCTCAAGCAGTACAACCAGGCCGCCCAAGCGCTGGTTCCACCGCGGCGCACGCTTGACTGGGATCAAGTAGTCGAGTACGCCTTCCTGGCGGACTTCGATCTCCTCCGCGATGCACGGCAAGACATCACGACACGCGACTGGGCGAAGCCTGGCGCTCGATCGGCAATGGATCTCCACTTCAAGATCTGCCGGGCTCGTGAGGAAATCGAGCGCGTGAACGTTGAGGTCAAGCGCCTCGCAACCTACCTCCGGGACGAAGACCGCTACCTCCATGAGTGTGAGCAGAAACTTCGACAAACTCACCCAGCACTCGCCCATCAAGTGGCAGCGTATCGGAGCATACGGGGCCGGTGCAACGACCTGCATTGGAGACGTCTACACGATATATCCAAGCTCCGTGGCTTCAGCGGGTCGATAGAGCCGGGTAAGGGCGCGAAGACGGGACCCGGGGACAGCGCGAGTGCTGCAGACCCCGTTGTTCCACCGACGCTCGGTGTACGCCGAGCGCACTGCTCTTCTGGCAAGGCAGGCAAGGGAGTAGATGATGAGGAGAGTGATAGCGACGATGCAGACAACGAGGAGAGCGATGCAGACAGCGTACTCGAGGAGGACAGCACATGGACCCTATTACATAGATTTCTTTCCTTAGATGACACCCCTGTTAAGTAATACATAGACGATTAGTATACCTGTATCTATAGCATACTGTAGCAAAAAACTCCGGAGTTATAGCTATAGTATTGACAGAGATATGCGAGCTCGTCGTCGAGGACGATGAGCTCGAAGGGCCTTGACGACGTCGGGGACAGCGACGGACATCACCGGAGTGACAGCTGAGGCTTGTGCCTGACAGCTAGGGGCTATGGAGCCTTTCTGGGAGACAGCTGATGGAGTGCCGAGCTGCCGGTGGCTGGAACGGCCCATTTGGTGTTTGACAGCTGATTAATGATGGCGGCACGCTCGGCACGTCATTTAGTGGGAGGGGACTCATTCTCGCAGGCTCTAAGTCCCTCGCGCTAGCAGCGAATTAGCAGGAGGCGGAGAAACCCCCGAATCACAAACGTATTAGGCATGTAGACCTGTCACGGAAACAGTATCTAATACGATGGCAGATGGTGGGTACCATAGGTGAGGATGACAGGAGACGCTCCACGACGAATTGAATGCTCGCGTGCCGCGTGGGGTTGGCAGCGGCGCCGGTGAGCTCAGGGTTGGAGAACGCGCGGATGTTTTGGGGTCGAAGCTGAAGCTTGAGCCGAACGATCCATCCCATTCCAGTGCGTTCGTAGGCGTTCGTTAGCTTGCAGGTGAGCATGTGGCAGTCAATGGGCTGTCAGCGGGAGAGGGCACATGGACAGGGGCATTGCTATCCTGGGACGGAGTCATTCTCGAAATCAAGAAGATCCGAGGGGGAGCCGAAACACTGGATGTAATATCATAGGATTCCCACGAGGACGTACCTGCTTGTTCCGAGATGCGGAAACCTCCTTTTTCTTGTTTCCCCACATCCCTCTCTGCTGAATAACCACAGCACAATCGCTCTCTTTCGTTCCACCATCATCCCTTGGTATTCTTGAACAACCCAGCATACCAGAACAACATCGCAATACCAACTACTATTCATCATTCGATGAGCCCCACCGTCTCCCAATCTCAATTCGACGACGTCTTCCTTCCGCACTCTTACTCCCAGTCATTCGACGACGATGGCCTCCAGGCGCCTCTGCAGGTCCCATGGAGCCGATTCCAGCCCATGTCCTCTTCGTCGCCCGTAAATGCGGACGAACTCCAAGAAGACGTCGTCGCGATAGACGCTGTCAGCAGCAGTGCTTCTTGGAATGGGAATGCGGACGCCGCTGTCTCCCGGCGTCTACTCGAGCAGCAGGACGAGCAAAACACGGCTTCTCTGCCCGATGCGACCTCTGGTCTTCCACAGATGGCGGCTGACCCCCTCCCCATTTCCCCCGCTGCCCTCTTCCTCTCTGCATTCAGCCCCTCCCCCTCCACCCTCGGCCTCTCCGCCTCTGCCTCTGCACCCGCTCCCATCGCAGACCCGCCCGACGCAGAGGGCCAGATCGTCGCTGGCTACACGCTCGGCCCTGTCATCGGCTATGGCGGCTTCTCTGTCATACGCAGCGCATCCTCGCCCTCGGGCGGTACAGTCGCGATCAAGATCGTAAAACGCGCTGATCTCGACAAGCGTGACAATCCCGCTCACGCGCGCAAAGAGCTCGACCATGAGGCTGCCGTGTGGTCCTCGCTCAGCCATGAACACATCTTGCCGCTGTTCAGCTCGGAACATACGAGCTACGCGGACTTTTTCGTGATGCTGCACTGCCCCGCCGGCTCGCTGTTCGATATTCTGAAGCGAGACGGGCGGCCTGCGCTGCCGCACGACGACGCGGGGACGATGTTCCGCCAGGTCGTGCGGGGCGTGCGATATCTCCATGAGACGGCCGGATACGTCCACCGGGACATCAAGCTCGAGAACGTGCTCGTCGACGAGATGGGCGTGTGCCGCATCGCCGACTTTGGAATGGCGCGCCCGATCGAAGGTTGCGACAACACCACAGAGTCCTCGGGGCTCTCTTCGTCCTCTGACGACAACGAGGGGCAACAGGGCCTGCAGCGTCACCGCTCCGCTAACGTGCAAAGCTCGAGGCGACAGACCAGGCTTGGTCTTCCTGTGCATCTCTCTCTCATTCGGCACCACGGCTCCCAGCAGTGCCGCCAGACGACGATCGCCGAGGGCCCGGGCGCCGCTGCCGCTGCGGGCTATGCGCACAAGGGCAACAAGCAGAAGAAGAAGCAGAAGCAGAACTATCAGTCGGGCTCGCTGCCGTATGCCGCGCCCGAGCTGCTGTCGCACCAGCTCGCGCAGAAGACGCGCCCGCACCCGGCGCAGGATATGTGGGCGCTGGGTGTGCTGCTGTATGCGCTGTTGACGGGCCGGTTGCCGTTCATGGACGCGTTCGAGCCGAGGCTGCAGATGAAGATTTTGCATGGTGCGTGGTTTTGCTGTTTGGGGTTTTTGGGACGACTCACCCGGCACTTGCCTTTTTGCTTTTTGGGTTTTGTATTGTAGGTGCGTTTGAGATGCCGCAGGGTATCGGGCGGGGCGCGGAGCGTGTGATTCGCGGGTGCATGGATCCGAATGTGCGCTCGAGGTGGACGATCGCGATGGTGGATGAGATGGCGTGGGGTGTGGGCTGGGGAGAGGTGGACGATGGGTCGCCGTGTGGTGAGCAGGAGGAGGAGGAGGAGATGGAGTATGCGATGAGGAGCCAGAGCCAGTCGAGGTCAAGGTCTCGTGTGCAGCAGTCACGTCATCTTCTTCATCATGTATCACACCATCATCATCATCAAACGTCGCATCCGTCTTCGCAAGTTCAGTCGAGGAATCACTCTCAGAATCACAGCCACCGTGCACATGCAGCGCATGCGCATCCTCATCCATATCTACCGCAAGACTCTCCAGACGCGCATCGCGCGCGCAGCCGCTCGCGCATCTCCGCCTCGGACGCCACCTCAACATCGGGCTCGCTCTCCACGCGCAGCACGAGCACATCCCGGAGCGCCTCGCGTCCCCCGCCCACGTCCTATCACCATCCTCTTCTTGCCCCGCGCTCGCGCTCGCGCACCGCCGGGCACACCGCCAATTCCAGGCTCGGGTTCGGTGGCGGGATAAACGGAGGCGGCGCGGACACGTCCTTTGCGTCCGCGTACGCCTCGCCCGACCGCGATGCGGGCGTCGGCGTCGTCACGTCGCCTGCGCCGTCGGCGCTCTCGGCGTCTGCGCTGTCTGTCGAGCGCGGGCGCGGGCGGAAGCCGAAGAAGACGACGGCGGCGGCGGCGACGACGAAAAAAGCTGCCAGTGGCGCGAGCCGCAGCGCGTCGCCCGAGCCGGGCCTCGGGACGCCGTTGTCGCCGCTCGGCCTCGGTGTGCCAAGGTCGATCGGGGTGTCGCCTGGTGCGGAGGAGGAGATGGGCGGCGGCGGCGGCGGCGGCGGCGGGATGTCGCCGCTGTCGCCGTTTAGGAGTGCGGGTGTGTTTATTGATCGTCGTGTTTGGACAATGACGAGCGACGTCGAGAGCGAGGCCGAGGGCGGTGGGGGTGCGATGGTGGAAGTGGGGCGGGACGTGTCGAGGGGGCGGACGCGGACGACGCCGGCTGCGCGGGTCGGGTACTTTGGGTTCGGGGGGCGCGCGAATGACGATACGCACGCTTCTGGGACGCCGGTGGTGGTTGTGGATAGGGAAGTGCTGGATGCTGCGGTTCCGTCGACTTCGACGTCGACGCCTATCCCCGTTTCCGCTGCGGCGCGACGCGCGGAGAGTACACCGCCCGCGCCGTCGGTGTGGCCTGCGCATCCTGGCGCTGGCAGTAATATGATGCGGCACCCGCTGAAGAGCAAGAACTTGAAGAACGGCGGTGTCGCGCAGTGGTCGTGGTCGTCGAGGAACGGGAGCGCGACATTCTTGAGGGAGCCGAGTGTCCCTGCGTCCTCTGGCGCTGGTCGCCACGGCTGCAATCGCAACGCGCAAGGACAAGGGCAGGGGCAGGGGCAGGGGCTGAAGGGTGCACTCTCTCCTCCCTCTACGACGGTGGCGCATGCGACGGATTCCGGAGGGTCGAGGGCGACGCTGGATGATGGTCCGCTTGCGTCGCAGACGGGCCAGGTGAAGACGACAGCGAGGGCGACAACGAAGGCGATGAAGATGGCGGCGAGGAGTCGGAGTGTCGGGTTCGAGCCTGCTGCTGCGTTTTGCGCGTAGGCTCTGCTCCGCTCCGCCCGTTTTGCCATGGCCACAATCCGGGCTGGGTCCTGGTCTGGCTTGTTGTAAAAAACAGGTGTTGGTTTCGACGACACCGACACCGACACCAGTGTAACTTGTATGTGCCCCGCATTTGTCAGTCTGTGTATGTTTTGTCCAGTGACTTATCGATTTTTCCTTTCTCCCTTTTCTCTTTCTTTTCTGCATCCTCTGTATCTTCTCTTTGCACGCTTTTGCTTGTATTTCTAGCTCCCCTCGCCGCAGCCATCTCATCCCATCTCATCTCAGCGCGCTCCATTCCGTTCCAATCGCATTATTCGTATACCATACAGACGGCGGCGACGCCATCTTCAACTTTGTGTATCGTCGCCGTTCATAATAATTTACTCTTTTTTTGGCTTCAAGTTTTTCTAGTCGTGGAGACTAAGGATCGGCTCCCTTCGCGACCGCTTCCCCTCGTTTCTCTCCCTCTATTTCTGTTGCCGGGTCTGTTCCATGGTCATATGCACCGCCACTCTCTCCCTGTCTTTGTCTCCCTTTTTTTTCGTTCGTCATTTCATGCACGATACCCGCCCTCCCGTTCATCCCGATCGATTTGTTTATTCTTGGCTTTTGTTTTGTTTACTACTCTACACCATATATATATATATTATTACTGGCCCGCCGTCTCTCCCCAGTGCACACATCGCGTCTCTGGATCGACTTCAACTTCAGGCTGGTGTCCATTTAACAGACTGGGGGCGCCTGCGCCGCCGCCAGCGGCGAGCGCACTCGCGTTGTTGTATGCGTGCATCCGGTACATTTCGTTCGACTTCTCCTCGGGTGGGGCTCCACGTTCTCGTCGTCGTTTTTTTCATCGGGTCATTCAAAGTTGCAAGACCAAAGCGCTCAACAAGAAGAAGAAAAAGAGAGAAAGAGAGTTCCGGAATCTGAACACTGTTAAAAAGCATGTGTAAATATTCTTCGTGTTGTCTTTACTTGTCTACGCGGGTTCAATGCACTCATGATGTCACCCTTCTGCGGATATAGTAAGCACATTCACCCATCTGATCGACCGACAAACGGCCAGCCGACAGGCAGGGCTCGTGCGGGATAAACCACCAGGCGAAGCTGACGTTGACGTGAACGTATAATATATGTGCAGGGGGACGCATTACACGAGAGCTAAACAGCGTTAAACGTGAGATACATCTGATTCTGACGGCGGCTGGTGGCTTATGACACCATCGCGTCGCTCGCCAAGCTCACGTTCACGGTCGGGACGACGCCCATCGTCAGGCGCGCCGTCGACGCGGCGAGCGCCTCGCGCTCCGTGCTGCGCGCCGTGCGCTGCGCTTTGAGCGTCTCCATCTCTCCGCGGAGGGTTGCCTGTCGTCGTGGTCGTTGCGTGTGTCGGCAGCGGTGGCGGCGCGTTAGCGTTCGTGCATTTCAGCGAGCAAGCGAGAGAAGAGCGGGAAAGAGAACGGGGAACAGGGAGGCCGCGGGGAAACAGACGAACAGAGCGGAGAGCGGATAGAAGGGGATAACGAATGTATACACGCACCACCTTGTTGTCAATCGCAGCATGGTCCCACTGCGCATACGGCGAGCGCGGCGCCGCAGGCTTCTTGTCCCCGAAAGCGGCCTCCTTGAACACGGCCTCCATGAGCTCGTGGTTCCGCCGGTAGCGCGTCATGGCGAGCGCGCGGGTCGAGATCATCTCGGATTCTTCTATAGGTATGTTTGTTTGGTTATTTGGGAGGGGCGTGGTAAGCCGTGTGAGGGAACGGGAGAAGAAGGGGAAGGGAGACGAGCGAACCTGCGTCTTCGTCGTCGGGCATGTGCGGCGGGGGCGGACGCTGCATCGGTCGCGGCCATCGTCAGCTCACCATCATACAAGAACCCATAAGACATGAACGTATACACACCCCAGCCATACTCCCACTCCGCTCCCTCTCCCTCGCCTGCTGCTGCTGCTGCTGCTGTTCACGCTGCCTCCGCTCCAGCGCGTCCATATTCCCATTCTGATGCGCCAGCATCGCCTGCGGACCCATGCCGATCGGGGGCATCGGCCCCTGCGGCCCGCCGCCATGACCGCCTCCTCCTCCGCCCATACCCGGCCCTGGCCCCATCCCCCCTCCTCCTTGCATCCCTCCCTGCATCCCGCCACCGCCACCGCCCATCCCCGGCGGCATCCCACCACCACCACCACCACCACCACCACCGGGTGCCCCGCCCATACCAGGCGGATGCCCCTGCCCCGGATGTCCTTGCACGGGGTGCGCGGCAGCGGGATGGGAATGAGGGTGCCCCGTGTGTGGGTGGGGATGGGAGTTAGGATGAGAGCCGGGTTGGGGCGCGGTGCCGGGCGGGTAGACTTTTTGGCCGATCTTGTCGCCCATGACGAACACGGGCGGGTCGGTGAGCGTGCGCAGGGGGTATTGGCGGACGGGCTGGGAGGCGAATTGGGGCATGATTGCTGTTTGGATGGGGTAGGGAGAATGAGGGTTGGGGAGGTGGTCGGGGGGTGGTGGACGGGGGAGATGGAGGTGGTGAGATGGAGGTGGTGAGATGGAGGTGGTGGATGGTGGGGAGGGCGTGCGGTGATTAGTCCAGGGCGGGTACGGGTGGATTTTGGGGTGCACCCGAGATCCCGAGATCGAGTTGAGAGCGCGTGAGCCGTGATCGAGCGGGAGGCGTGTAAGCCAGAATGATGTCGGTGAGAACGCAGCGGCACAGTCATCGCCAAGTGAGAAACCACGATCGAGTAAACAGGCAAGATTATGTCAGTCGGAGGAACCAAGAGAGCGGAGACTATGCACAGCGTAGGGTATGGGGGTATGGGAGTATAAAAGGGAGAGAGACGCACGCATTGCGGGGCCGCGCGAGTAGTGCACGAGCGTCAGCTGCGGGTGGCCGCCCTTGTGCAGGCGGTAGCGCCTGCGCATGCGACCCGCGGTCTGGTCGCCGCCGGGCACGAAGCCGTATTTGGCTTCTACGACTTCTAGCTCCTGTGGTCGTGGTGTATTGGACAAGGCGAACGAGAGGTTGAGGATGGGTCCGTGACGAAGAGGGGTTCGAGCCAAGTTAGCGGCGGTGGTCTACGGTTTGGAGAGAAAGAAAGCGAGGACGCACCCGTCCGCCTGGGACCGGTATCGACATTCTGTTCTCCGGTTCTTGATACCTGATTCCATCGATGGGGAACTGCCCGAGATTTGGCTGGAATATCAACAGCACTTGGCCCTCTACGAAGTAAACAGAGGCGTCAGCGTAAGATGTTCGTGCTCTTTCCGGCTCAGAGGGCCAGGGAGTGCGTGATGGTTCAAGTAGAGGGAGACAGCGCACCTGGAGGCTTATCAATGAAACCCCACTGGTACGGGACATTCTGGGAGACCTGGACGGCGCGCAGGAGCATGCTGACGGCCTGTTCGACGGTCATGTTCCCGTGCATGCCGAGGTTCTCAGGGAAGCGCAGACATGGTTGCTCCATGCTTCACCTTTGTTTTCTGTGTGAGCGAAGAGGTAAAGGGCGGGATGAGACGGGGAAGGATTCGTGACGCGGACCGTGAATCGTTAGCAGGCTGGGGCGCGTCACCGACCAACACCGAGGCGTTTGTTTGGAACAGCAACCATCGTGGGTACAACATTCCAAATCTAGCTTACAAGCCCCTATCTAATGACCTGGGGCTTGTGCTTCCAATACTGCATTTCCGACCTTTGTCTCTTCAACGACCTATACCTCACTGCGTACGCATATGCGAGGAAAAATTCATGGGTCCATAGAGGTCCACATGGACCAAGACGAACCGGGTCCTCCGGGATGCGCGTATCACCTCCATTCCAGAAACTTCAGGCCTCAGGCTTCACGCGCACCGTCGGCCACTCGGCATTACCGCGCCTTGCGCAAGAACCTTGTGATCTGACAACAGCTGGTCATTGAGGCACATTTGTGAGCGTATGTTTCCTCTTTCTTATCCCTTCTTCAGTTGCCAGTGATGGGATCGCTCCTGCTCGCGACAACGTCGGCACCGATCAGGATCAGAGTTCTCGCGAATCATTCTCAAACATTCGATTGGTATAATTTATCTCTCTCCCTTTCATGCCATATGCATGCTTTTCCACCATGTTCAGTTCATCCGTGACCGCTTGAGCACAGAACGAGTAGCATGCCTACCAAGACTATGTAAGAAGTTCCGTGTTCTTGGTGCTTCGTGCTATCTTCTAGTACTGTAAGGCCCATAGCACCTGCTCACGCGTACCCATACTTTCATGTTTCAACACCTACGCCACCGATTCGCGCCTGACGAGAGAGATGCACAAATGAGGACTTGATGACGTGAGTTAAGCTTCTGAATCCGTGTCCGGAACTCGTTCTTGACAGAGTTTTGTTCCTGATCGGACATTTGACATAACATTCCCCTCGCTCTTTTTATGCCTTGTTGATCAACTGAAGACTCCTGCTTATCGCGGCGTACGAGTGGAGGTCGCTCAGTACGCTCGAAGATTGCGCCATAAGTGAGATGCACAAGCTTAGCGCTTATCTGCCAGCGTATCCTCGATGCTCGCTACCTCTCTCGGTCGCCGGGCATCTCTCTCGCCGCCCAAGTACCTGATTGCCGACGGCGCTCATGTGCTCAGTTCACGATTTCGTCAGTGCGCAAGCCCGGATGAAATGATTTGAACAAATGTAACCTCGCAACAAGCACCGGCGGTCAGCCACATCAATCTGCCAAGAAGCTCCATGGGCTTCCATGAGCAGGTGGAGTCAAATTCCCCCACGGATTCTCTGATTCCTCCAAGCTCGAAAGACGGCGATGGGTCGCCTTTAAATCCCGGGCGCACACGACCATATGCGTTGCTGCCTCTCTCGTCGCCCCCTCCTCTTTCTCCCCCCTTTTTTTCTTGCGTCACCGCTGTGGTGCCCCCTAGCTATACTAGGAGCCCCTGACATCCGCGACGTGCAGAAAACATGGCCGAGGCTGGAGCACAGCAGGAAGACGCCGTTATGGCGATGGGCAAGACGCTCGAGCACGACGCTTCCATCGAGAAAAAGGACCTCGGCTCCGACGTCGGGTCGTCCATCGAGACCGACAGCGCGCATGAGGGGCTCGAGTTCCCCACTGTCGATGAGCTCACCACGCTGAGGCGGGTGCAGGATGATGTTCCGTGGAATGCCTATGGTGCGCTGTTCTTGCTCCCCCGAGTTATGTGTCTGTTGTTCAACGTGTCTTTCCAGCGATCGCGTTTGTCGAGCTCGCAGAGCGTTTCTCGTACTATGGTTCCAGCATCGTCTTCGTACGTCTCCTATCCTTCTACCGCCGCTTACACGACCCTGACGTCTCCTCCCGCCCACGTAGGTAAACTACATCCAACAGCCCCTTCCCTCCTCCACCGGCGCCGACCCAAATGGCCAAGCCGGCGCCCTCGACAAGGGCCAGCAGACCGCGACCGGCCTCAACACGTTCTACGCCTTCTGGTCGTACTTCGCCCCGCTCATCGGCGCGCTCATCGCCGACACGTACTGGGGCCGCTACAAGACCGTCTGCGTCTCCGTCGGGATCGCCATGCTCGGGCACATCATCATGATCATCAGCTCCGTCCCCGGGATTATCGGTACAGATGCGTCGTTTGGCGTGTTTGTGCTGTCGATGATCGTCACGGGCTTTGGCGCGGGCATGTTCAAGGCGAATATTTCGCCGTTGATCGCGGAGCAGTATCGGAAGACGAAGCTGTTTATCAAGGTGCTGCCGAGCGGGGAGCGGGTGATTGTGGACCCCAGCTTGACGATATCGAGGATCTACATGGTGAGCCTGAGCTGCTGCGCCAGCGTCATCATAACTGTTGAGCCGACATCTTTCTCCGCGCGTAGTACTTCTACCTGTTCATCAACGTCGGCTCGCTCCTTGGCCAAATCGGCATGGTCTACGCAGAGAAATACATCGGATACTGGCTCGCGTACACGCTGCCCACCATCGTCTTCGCGCTCTGCATCCCCGTGCTCTGGTGGGGCAACAGCCGCTACCGCAAGTCGCCGCCCACGGGCTCCGTCCTCGCGGCCGCGCTCCGCCTGTGGCGGTACGCCGCCAGGGGCCGGTGGTCGCTTAACCCTGTTAAGACGATGCGGAATCTCAAAGCGGCGGACTTTTGGGAGAACGCGAAGCCGAGCCATATCAGCCCTGATGAGCGGCCCCGGTGGATGGCGTTCGATGATAACTGGGTGGACGAGGTGCGGAGAGGGTTCAAGGCGTGCGCGGTGTTCCTGTGGTACCCGCTCTACTGTACGTGTCACCCTTCTTTTCAGTGGAACGCGGAGCTCACCCCACCCTCGTCACATATAGGGCTCGCGTACAACCAGCTCGTGTCGAACCTGACCTCGCAGGCCGCGACCATGTCCACGCACGGCGTGCCCAACGACGTGCTGAACAACCTCGACCCGCTCGCGCTCATCATCTTCATCCCCATCTGCGACCTGTTCATCTACCCCGCGCTCGCGCGCGCCGGGATCAAGTTCACCGCCCTGAAAAAGATCGCATGGGGGTTCTTCATGGCCGCGGCGGCCATGATCTGGGCGACGGTCATCCAGTACTACCTCTACAAGACGAACCCGTGCGGGCACGCCGCGGCGACATGCGTCGACGCCGCGGGCGACCCGCTCGTCTCGCCGATCAACGTGTGGGCGCAGACGGGGAGCTACGTGCTCATCGCGTTCTCGGAGATCTTCGCGTCTATAACGGGGCTCGAGTACGCGTTCACGAAGGCGCCGAAGAACATGCGCTCGCTCGTGATGAGCATTTTCCTGTTCCAGAGCGCGTTCGCGAGCGCGATCGGGGAGGCGTTTAACCCGCTCGCGGCGGATCCGCTGCTGGTGTGGAACTATGCGGTGTCGGCGATCCTGTCGGGTGTGGGCGGGGTGTTCTTCTGGTTGTCGGTGCGCAAGCTGGATAAGCAGGAGGATGAGCTGAATAATCTTGCGGATGGGCACTTTGATGGGGAGAAATGATCGGTCGGTTGTGGCGCGTGGGCGCTGGGTCCCGGTCGTGTTCTGTCACAGCATGCGCTCTTTGTCGTGGGTGTTGTTTTTGGGGACTCTCGGATGGTGATATATCAAGTTGGTCTCGTAGGCGGCTGGACGATCAGCGCTTGTTCTTGCTAGGTGTTAATTAGTTGCTGTACTCTACTACCCCGCTCTGCAATGGATGGGTTGTCCCATGTTATGACGGGTGGAGAGGAAGAATTCAACTTTATACCCCACATAACTTGACGCGCGGCTCGGTATTGTTGGTGGATGGTCAGGGATAAGATTAGTAGCTTTGCAGTTCCAACCTGTGTGTACTCATCACGGGGCTGTCGTCACACAACATAGGAAGCAGAAAAGAGGGGGAGAAGGGTTGAGGAAAAGGAAGAACATATAGGCCTGTAGTAGTAGTCGCCCGATTCGTCCTCAAGCTGGGCCACTGCGAGGCGCGGCTTTATTGGTGATCTGTGATCTCGATCAGCTGGGACTGCGAGAGATGGATTGAACTTAGGTTTGTCACACTGGAAATACCTGTAAGTTAGTATATATTCAGCTGTAAAGCATGCACGGAGTGGTGGGCTCGGAGGTCGTAGTTCGAAGCAGGGCCCCATTTTCACCTCCGAAATCGACGGAGTTCGAACCCTGTTTGTCGCGTTTCGACGCGTTTCCCCGGGCTCCGTTGCGTCGCGTCGAAGTCTCTGGTCGTTCACTCCTTTAGCCAACTCATTTCATCCCTCATGTCCTTCGAGCTGAACACCTTGCGTACCTCGAAGAACACCAGGAGTATCAATGGCCCCCTCTCTTCTCGTCCGAATGCGAACGAACCGCGCGCGGAGTGGACCCTCTGCCCGGGCACCGTGACAGACAGCATGCATTCGAGTTGGGGGGTCGATACGAAGGCTACAGGTCGCACAGGGATCTTCGCAAAAGTCGCGCATCGTCTCGCCGTGCCGACGTGTTCTAACGCATAAGTCGCTCACTTTGCCCTTTGCGACGGGTTCGTCGTGCTTCGGCGGCCTATCCATGTCTTCCGATGATGCACTGGCAGTGAGGTAGCGAGGTGGAGGGACATCCGCTGCGGGGAAGAACGTCTTTGAGAGACCCCTTTTTGATTTGAATGGTAGTAGGTGAGCATGAGCTTTGAACGTTCCGCGAACCAATCCCTCTTGTTGACTGTATGCGCAGTTTTTGCTTACGCCGTATGCGTCAAAGGGTTTCGCTAGCAGTTTTGCGGCTGAAGTAACTAGGCGCCCATGACGAGCTTTTTTTAAGCATGGCCTCGCGATCATATCTGGCCGTTCCGTGATACACCATTGTATACCGATCAGTGTTTTGCGTTCTCGGGGTTGTGAACCTCGCAACATCACATCGAGGCTCCCTCGAACGCGCCCCCTTTTGCCGCTGCCGTCTCCTTCTGTGACTGTTGTGTTGCGTTTGATGTGGCTGACCTGCTACTCTCATGCAGTCTCGCCAGATGAGCTTCGGGTGCTGAGCTCATGTAATCTTCAGCCAACATCGCACACGCTGTCGTCAACCCCATTTGCTCTTCGGACCGGTATGTATTGGTACGAAGTCACCCTCAAGTCCGAGACGGAGAAGTACAGCGTAACGACCTTGGATGGCCATACCTGTGTGTCTTTCGCAGTCCGACAATGACATCGTTTCTTTCCAAAGAATCTCCTTCACGTGTCTCGGCTGCAGACACACTTCGTCCGGAGCATGTCTTTGACTCCATACACGTCTTAACACACTCTGCATAGGGTCCCTTTTGAACTCATCGCTGCACTCTCATTGGTGGGATAACTGTTCACCCTCTCAGTACAACCAACGGAGGCGCGAAGATATCTCACGCGACTGTATTTTCTCGGCGGTGCAGACCCGACGCAGCAGCTGGTTCCGTAAAACCTTCGTGCCTTGCATCTCGTTGCAGGCAATAGAACCTCTTCTTCGACCCCCCATTCAATGATCGTGCGCAGCCACAGGCACGAAACGAGCATACCGCACCGTTCGTCCGCGGCTCTGATCTTGTAGATCTCGAGATTAATTACTTCCTCCAACTTTACCGCCGGCCGATGCGCTCCGACTGTTGAAACGTGGTAAAGCCTATCAGTGCATCTGTACACTCACAAGCCTTCTTATCCACCTTTAGCCACCAGGTGTGCCGCTCCCTGCGAGCGAGGATACGTCACGTTTAGACACTCGCTGTTCTAGACGATCCATGGCAGCCTTCGATGAGATAAAGGGAACACACCACTTCAGCGCGCATCAGCAGAGACCACAGCCCCATTAACCCCGAACGACGGTCATATCTGTTCACATGTGTCCGGTCCGTCAACTCTTGCAGTCATTTTGGCCATTCGACATTAGCCGACGAACTACTCATTGGCTCTTCCTCCTCCGCAGCGTGGCGAGGGTCGTAATATCCAGGATGCTTCTGCGGTACTCCTGCTTGCGGCAAGGGCGAAGGTGTCAATGAACGGTGCCGTATCCCTGTTTCCATTCCCGCAGCGGGGATACCTGCACGTAGCGTGACCACAAGATTGCTCTGTGGTGGGCAAGCCCACGCCTGCGGGCTTCCTTTGTGCTGGGGCTGAACGACGGATAAATATAAAACGCGCAGAGAAAGGGACGGGGCGTTCTGCACTCGCTCAGTAAGTATAGCCCAGTCCAGGAAAATTCTTAGGAGCTCAGCTCAGCAGACTCGTCCGTCCTCCTTTCCCCCTCCGTATTCCCACCGCGACGTCTTCAGCTACGGCTACGTCTCATTCTCCGTCTTCATCTGCGCTTGCGCTTGCGCCCGCCGCGAGTGCTCCTACTCCGCTCGCGATGGCGACTACATCCCCTACCGGAACGCTGGTCGAGGGCTCCGAGACCAGCACGGCGGCCCCAGTCTCTCCGGTATCCGAAACGTCGGTCATGACACTGCCTGGGCCCAAGACGGACATGTGGATCGTTCCCATACCGAAGCGCTTGCAGTACGACCCCGAAAAGCCCTTTTACTTTGGCTTGTTCTTGAACGTGTTCTTCGGTGTCGCTAGCACGCTAGGTATGTCTTCGTCATGTACTATACGACAGACTTGAATTGTTGGCTGATCATGACGGTTGGTTGGTTGGTCGGTTGCTTGCGTGTGCTTTGTTGCAGTCGTCGCGAATCTGTACTATTGCCAGCCGTTGTTGAGTGCGTAAAGCGGTGTTTCTCGGCCGAGGCCCTGTGCACTGTTCTTATCTCGTTGTGTGATTGGCTTGTTTGATAGTCGAGATATCCCACTCGTTTCATGTGACGTATGATGAAGTGTCGAGGTACGTGCATATTTACGTCGTGTTCTCACAGAGCTGGACGGTGGTACTTATTGGCTTTAACGATAGGATACCGACGCTGGTTCAGGCCGGGTGAGCAGCTCAGCATCATGCGGCACCGTCTTCTGACGCAGACTCGTCTGATGCAGCTACGGCATTGGTCTTCTGCTCATCTCGCCGCTCGGCGACATGGTCCGCCGGCGGCAGCTCATCCTCGGGCTCATCGTCCTCTCCGCCGTGCTGAGCATCCCGCTCGCCGTGACGTCGAGCCTGCGCGTCTTCGAGGTCATCTCCTTCCTCATGGGCATGGCGACCGTCTCGCCGCAGATCATGATCCCGCTCGCGGCGGACCTCGCCCCGCCCTCGCGGCGCGCGTCCGCCATCTCGATCGTCATCTCCGGCTTCCTGCTCGGCATCCTCACCGCGCGCGTGCTCGCGGGCATCGTCGGGAACTACACGTCCTGGCGGATCGTGTACTGGATGTCCGCGGGCGTGCAGGGCTTCGTGGTGCTCGCCATGTACTGTGTGCTGCCGGACTATCCGGTGAAGAACAAGGGGCTGTCGTATTTTGGGATGTACAGGAGCATGGCGAAGTTTGTGGTCACGGAGCCGGTGGTGCCGCAGATTATGCTGATCAATTTTGCGGCGAGCGCGTGTTATACGAACTTTTGGGTGACGTTGACGTTCTTGCTGGGCGGGGCGCCGTACTTTTACTCGACGTGCGCAGCTCATTATTCTATCTCTCGAAGTGCTATGCTGATGCGCGTTTTAGCATCATCATCGGACTCTTCGGTCTGCTGGGTGCTCTCGGTGTCGTCGTCGTGCCTTTCATGGGCCGGCTGATCGACAGGATCGTGCCCTGGTATGCGACACTGATCTCGACGATATTCCTGCTGGTCTTCCAGGCTGTGCAGACGGGCGCTGGTGGGATCAGCATCGCGGCTGTCATTATCGCGTGCTTTGGGCTGGACGTGTTTCGCCAGACGCAGCAGATATCACTCGCCACGAGGATGTTTTCGTGCGTGTTCCCTGATGGCGGTGCTTGCCCACTTTAGACTGATAGTCCAACAGTGTGAACGAGAACGCCCGTGCACGGTTGAACGCACTTCTCATTCTATCGGTAAGCCTTGCAACTCTAGCAAACACAAGTCCTTATCCTTACCTCATGTCCCTCTGTCCTTTACAAATCTATAATAGGTCTTCCTAGGCCAAATCATGGGCACCGCCGCCGGCACCGAGGTCTTCGTCGGCTACGGCTGGCGCGCGGACTCGCTGCTGAGCATGGGCTGGTACGTGTGGCAGTTCCTGATCCTCGTCATGCGCGGACCGCACACGCCATCATGCCGGTGGTTCGGCTACGAGGGCGGCTTCCGGTTCCGGCGCGATCCCATGCTCGATTCGAGTCGCCGGCTCGAGGAGGCGGAGGGGGAGTTGTCGGGGACGTCGACGCATGCGGAGGAGAAGGCGGAGGAGAAGGTGGAAGAGAAAGGGACGTCGGCGGAGGGGCGCGGATCGGAGGAGACGGCGAAGGCCAAGGTGGAGGAGGAGAAGGTCGAGAAGGAAGGATTGGACGCTGTCGAAGAGCCCAAGGCTCTCCCAAAAGAAACTCAAGCCTGAGCGAAGGCTGAGGTTCACGTTTGTCGCTCTGGAAGCGGACAGATTATATGAGACAGACTCTGTTTCACGAACACCAACTTCATAGATGAGATCTTTATGTAAGATCTCTATGTATCCATGCGTTTCATCTACTTTCTACACAACCATAGACTCAATAGACTTATGACATGTCAACTAAACATGTGGTGTTTCCGTGACGCTGAGCGCTGATGACGGGAGCCGAGGTCCGCACTGCCCGGAGACACTACAGCGATATGCTATGGCGAAGAAATCACAACGAACACGCGTAATGACGACTGCGTGACTGTCGCTGGAAGGGGTAGCTTTGTAATTCATCACTAAGCCATAACTTCTAGCGAATATGTTGGATGAAGAAACGGACGGAAACACCTAACGCCATTTGCTACCTCGACCCGCTGATATTTGTAAAGCAGAGGCGCACTTTTCGCGAGTACGTCATTCGGGCACCTGCTGTACCTCGTGATGGAAACACCAGGATGAAATTAAGTCTCGGCGATTGTGTTAGTGTCCAGATATCCGAGAGGCTTAGAGCAGCCTCTTGAGTGGTAGCGAACGTTTTACAGAAAAAGCTCACTGGGCTGCCATTGGCCAGCGAGTCATCCAATTAGTGGCAGTCACGAATGCAAGCTTCCAGCTCGATAAAACGCGGACTCCGGAGAGGTAATGGAGCACAATACAAACCACTCCACAGAAAAGAGTAAATTACCATGTTGTCGCGAGAACGCGTCTTTTTTGACAGAGACTTGACAGGGGTCTGGTATCAGGACAGGGGCTTCGCCAGAAAAAGAAACTGTGTACGCAAATAGTGTTATGTAAGACGCATATGGCTTGGTCAAAAGGTGCCGAGGCGGGCACGGAATGTTGCATCCGCCCGCAACGATTTCGCAAAATCTGTATAGACGGACATATAAATATGGTACTCCGTCATCCTTGTCTAACTCCCTTTCCTCCTGTTCAGACGCTCTAGCATTCCGGCTCAATGGCCTCGCCCGCGGAGACCATCGTCGAGATGCCAACAGCGACTGCTTCAAGGGAGGACAAGACAGACACGCCGCCCGCTGGCCAGGACCATGATGATGCGGAGAAGTATCCGACGAGGGACTTCGGGCTCATCCCAATTCCACCGCGGCTGCGCTATCATCCGGACAAGCCATTTCACTTTGGCTTGCTCATGAACATGTCTTTTGGGTTTGCGAGCACCTTTAGTGAGTCTGCTCATCTGCTCGACTACATCCATGTCAGAGCTCATCGACGCCTCTTGATTTCAGTTGTCGCGAATTTGTACTATTGCCAGCCTCTGCTGAGTGCGTCGCTTGTCTCTCGGTTTGATGTTGTCGCTGACATGTTGCAGTTGAGTTCTCCAAGTCGTTTGGTGTCACGTACGAACAGGTTTCACGGTGCGTCTCAGAATCCTATTACCTCGTCAACGTATATCTCATGATTCCGTTAGAATCCCAACACTCGTCCAGGCAGGGTTCGTTCATTCACCGCTCCCCGAGTGTCCAATCACTAAACCTCCTCTAGCTACGCCATCGGTCTCGTCCTCATCTCCCCGCTCGGCGACCTTGTCCGCCGACGCGGCCTGATCCTCCTCTGTGTCCTCGTCTCCACATGCCTCACCATCGGCTGCGCCATCACCGCCTCCCTCCAAGTCTTTGAGGCCCTATCCTTCCTTATCGGTGTGGTCACCGTCGTCCCCCAAATCCTCATGCCCCTTGCTGCGGACCTCGCCCCGCCCGAACGCCGCGCCTCCGCGCTCGCCGTCGTCCTCTCGGGGCTCATGCTCGGCATCCTCATCGCGCGCGTGCTCGCCGGCGTCATCGGCAACTTCACATCGTGGCGCGTCGTGTACTACACGTCCATTGGCGTGCAGGGCCTCGTCTTCGGCGGCGCGTATCTGATTCTCCCGGACTACCCCGCGAAGAATGCGGGCATGTCCTATTTTGGGATTTTGTACACGATGGGTAGATATGCTGTTACCGAGCCGCTGCTCATCCAGGCTGCGCTCATCAACATTGCGTCGAGTTCGATTTTTACGGCGTTTTGGGTTACGCTGACGTTTTTGCTGGGCGGGGACCCGTATAACTACTCCACGTGCGCTTTTGCCTCCCCTTCCCCACATTCCCCATGCTTACCACGAACCGCGCTACAGCCTCGTCATCGGTCTCTTTGGCCTCGTCGGCATGCTCGGTGTCATGGTCGGGCCCCTCATGGGCCGGCTCATTGATCGCCTCGTGCCGTGGTACAGCGCGCTCGTGGCGACCTGCATGCTGCTCGTCTTCACCATGGTGCAGACCGTCGGCGGCGGGATCAACATTGCCGCCGTCATCATCGCGTGCTTTGGGCTCGACGTGTTTCGCCAGACGCAGCAGGTCTCGCTCTCCACGGCTGTATTTGGCATCTCGGCGGCGGCGAGGTCGCGGTTGAACGCGGTGTTGATTCTCTCGGTGCGTCCCTTCTTCTTCTTTTTTCTGGTTTCCTTCTGGTTTCTCCTCTCTTGTGTATTCTGTAACCTGACAAGAACCGGTGCTACAGATCTTCATCGGGCAGGTGATGGGCACCTCTGTCGGCACACTCGTGTTCACAAAGTACGGCTGGCGGCCCATGGCGGGCATGCTCATGGCCCTCTGCGGCGCGCAGCTCTTCTTCCTGCTCCTCCGCGGGCCACACGTGCCTAGACACGTGTGGGTCGGATACCGGGGTGGGCTCGAGGCGCGCAAGAGCGTTGTCGAGGCGCGACGGCGCGAGCAGGAGGCGGACGGGGGGTCCGCGCAGGAGGGGGACTTGGAGGCTGTGGCGCAGTCGCGGGGCGAGAAGGCTGCTGTGGAGGATCAGGAGAAGGGACAGAGTACGCGCGTCGAGGAGAGGACCGTGGAGCGCCAATGAGTGCAAGTTTATGTTTACTAAAAGGACAAGGCAAGGACTGTCCACCATCTAGAAGATAGATTTGATCATGCATTTACGAGGATACGCCTGCATTTACGATATCCGGACGAGATACTACGATACCATATTAATACACTCTTGCCTTCGAACCGAGCTGAAGTGGGTGAAATCAAGAACTTGTTGGAACATCCTACATAACACTCAAGTCACCTGGGCGCTATCTTCGACGACTCTGTGTATCTACAGCTAGTTTTATACCTCGCTATCAGTATCTTGTACAATAGGTAGTGTATAATGAACTCACCCAGCCTGCGAATCTAAGTAGATCCAAAAGCTCGGGAAGCGAGATAAGCTAGCATGAACAAGTGAACACGACCATGAGAGCAAGGGTTCACAAGTTTGAGCTCTGTTGCCTTTGGGATATGACTTCGTGGTGGTCTGCAATCTAGATGCTCATTGGGTTAAGTGGTGTGTGAGTACTAGCATTATATGGAAATGACGCTGCGGTCCAATCAAAACCGAGAGCGAGCAATGCTAGCGAATGACGAGTTGGGTGGTCGAAAGGCTTCGGCTCTTTCCGAGCCTGTCGTTTGTCGGTCATCCTCGGTCATCGATCATCGATCATCGACCATCGACCATCTCAGTTCAACAACTCTTTGTATCATCATCAACAGTTTTGGGAACTCTGCAGTAAGTCATATCCCCAGCACCTTCTCGAGTGGGATGCGATTCGACGGCGTCGACTGTAATTGCATTCATACTGTTAGTATTGCTTGGAATCCATCCTGAATACGAGATGCTTTACCTACGATGCAGCACCGTTGGTGAGCTGCGACAAGTTACCTCCGCTTCCCTGCTGTGATGTAGCAAGTATGTAGCACGCACACGAAATTTACGCTGTCCGCTTTTAGACAAAGCCTTCTCGGCGACTTCGGGAATACGGCGTCATATCCAATCAGCCAAAGTTGCGTACTCGCTCTTCCTCCCGTTCCTTCGATCAAATAGTTCCTCCTGCCCTGCAGGTTTTTTGCGGTTGTCAGACTTACTGCCGCACCTGCGATGGGTGGAAAACGAACTTTTCTGGCGAATCAAAGCGAACGGGGCTCAACAAGCTAAGGGAACCAAACAGCCAAGCTTGCTCAGGCTACGGGCTTATAGCCGTATCATCTTGTCTCATATCTCATGTTCTGTGCCACCCATGTGTGTCCCTGGCTCCGGGTTTAGTTTTCAGGCATGTTAAGAGACAATGGCCGCCCAAGCTGCATATAGATATCTCGTCTCCGGAAATTAGGCTCCTTTGACGCTCAAGAAGCACGACAGTGTGATTCAGGACATTTGACGGGTTCCTGGCCGCGCCATTGTATGACACAGAAGGTATGACATGCCTTCTGGCGTCCCGTGCCCCCCTTCTCCACACCACCTTAGATCCGCCCTCGCTCTTCTTACATCCCGCTTGACAGGTGGAGCCATCCCGACATACATAGATCCAGAGAGCGACTCAGCTCCACGATCTACACCCATTCAAGTCCTGCTGTCCATGGTTGCATCTCGCCATGTTAGACACTCACGCATCTTACTTTGACACTACCTTCGACGACTTTGTGTATCTATAGCCATGTGTTATACCTCGTTATCAGTATCTTGTACAGTAGAAAGTATAATGAACTCACCCACCCTACGTATCTGAGTAGCTCTGAAAGCTCGGGAAGCGAGATAAGTTAGCTTGAACAAGCGAATACGACCATAAGAGCAAGGGGGTTCGTCTTTGCGTTCTGTTGCCTTTGGAACATGGCTTCGCGGTGGTCGACAATATCAATCTATATTCTCGTTGGTCTAGTGGTGTGAGAGTAGCATTATATGGGAAATGCCGCTGCGGTCCAATCAAATCCAGAGCGAGAAATAACGAATGATTCCTCCGGGAGATAGTGGGTCGCGCGTTGGTCGTGTAAGCCTACTGTAAGCCTGGGGCTCGCACACTTATTAATATTCAGGGGCGGTCAAAAAGGCTTCAACTCTTCAAGTTTCCGAGCGTCTCCTTGGTCGGTCATCCCAGTTCAACAACTATTTGTATGATCATTAACAGTTTTGGACCGCAAGGTGAGGTTCTCGGATGGTTGGGAGAGACGTGACATCAATATCAATCATAAAGAACCACAGCTAACTGCTAATCGGTGCTTGAACAGCGTTCTTTTACCACACACAGGACTCCGTCAGGCAGAAGCCTCGAGGTCTAAATGACCTCTTTTTACACTGTCCACTATTAGACAAGGCGTTCTCGGAGGCTTCGGGAGTGCGGCGTCATATCCAATCAGTCAATTGTGTACTCGCTCTTCCTCTCGTTCCTTCGATCAAACGGTTCCTCCTGCCCTGCGGGTCTTTGCGGTTGTCGGACTCACTGTCGGACTCGCTGTGCGTGGAAAACGAAGTTTTCTGGCGAAGCACAGCGAATGGGACTCAATAAGCCAAGCCTGCTAAGGCTACAGACTTATACCCGTCTCATATCTCATGTTATGTGCCATCTATGCGTGTATCCGGCTCCAGGTTTATTTTTTTTAGCCATCTTTGGAGACAATGGCCCCACTCAAACTGCTAAATATTGTCTCCTCTCCGGAGATAAAGTTCTTCGTGAAGCTCAAGAAGCACGACAGCGTGATTCAGGACATTTGACGGGTTCCTGCCCGCATCATACACAGTGTATGACATGGAAGGTATGACATAGCTCGCGGGACTGGTCGGCTGTAGCGCTTTAAAGTCGCGCGAGTACACGCAGTCCGTATTAAACCAGCTCGCCAAATGTTTCTCATCGATACCACCGCTCTCTTCCTGTGTACCCTCTACAGTACCAGCGCACACTCGGATCCGCGATGATCCTCCATCTTGCACTCAGCGTCTTGTCAATCGTGATTGGTGCCTCTCTGGTTGCTGCAACGCCTACCCCCGTCGTTGTAAACCGGGCAAGCCCAACAGTCCAGCTCGATAATGCGACTGTGACAGGTGTCGCTGGGCAAACCACGAACTCGTGGCTTGGAATCCCTTTCGCCCAACCTCCGTACGTGTTCCGGGCTATTTCGCATTACCAGCACAAGTTTGCTGATAATATTGATTTCGAGTATAGTGTTGGCTCACTGCGCTTCCAGCTCCCGCAGCCCCTCCCAAGTTACAATGCAAGCTTCTCAGCGACCGCTTACGGCCCTTCATGCCCGCAGCAGGCCATCTCGGTCCCTCTCCCGTCTGTGTTGCCAGCGGAGGCGGTCTCAGTTATTGATAACTTGACCAATTGGATTTCCGGGTTGACCACACCTAGCTCGGAGGATTGTGAGTCTGCCTTCTAGTGTCGCTGTTGGCCTCATGCTGGGAAAATGGATGCTAACTGGCCACTCGGAAAGGCTTGACCATCAACATCTGCGCACCGGCCCATGCAACGCCAGACTCGAAGCTACCCGTCCTTGCGGTACGTGGCATGCCAGCGGTGTCGCTATTTACCGCCCTTTACGATGCTATTTTCTCAGTGGATCTACGGAGGTATGTCCTAGGCGAATTCTTGCCGAGTCTTATGGTTGATGATCTAAATGGTGTCACAGGTGGCTTCGAGATCGGCAGTTCGGACACGTAAGATTGTCCTGTCTTTCGTCACCTGTGCATGGCTGAGCATCGTCGAGCCAGATACTCCGGAACGACGATTGTGGACAGGGCAGTTGAGCTGGACGTGCCTGCTATCTACGTCAGCATGAATTATCGGTGAGAACAGAAGCCATTCCTGATCTGTATCAACCTGTTGGCTGACTGAGCCTCCAATCAGCGTCACGGGTGGGTATGCATGATCTCAAGCCAATGGATGTGTAGCTAATGTGGTACTTTCTCACCATTATTAGCATTCGGCTTCCTGGCAAGTAAAGAGGTTCAGGATGCCGGTGTTGGAAATCTTGGACTGCAGGATCGTGGGTAGACTTTAGTCTCTATCTTTGATATGGAACACTGGACAGGTTTGCAGAGCGCCTGGCGCTGAAATGGATCCAGCAATACATCAGCAACTTCGGCGGGGACCCGACCAAGGTAACAATGTACGTACCCTTATATGTTATCAAGTTGCAACATACCGCGGTTTATGCAACCGTCTATGTAGCTGGGGGGAATCCGCGGGTGCCATCTCTGTCTCCCTCCAGATGCTCACGAATGGCGGAAACACCGAGGGCCTCTTCCGCGCAGCGTTTATGCAATCCGGCTCGCCGATCCCCGTTGGTGACATCACGCACGGACAGCCATACTACGACTTCTTGGTGAATGAGACAGGGTGCGCCAGCTCGGACGACACGCTCGAGTGCTTGCGAGGCGTAGAGTATGAGACGCTGATGGATGCAATCAATCAAACGCCGAATATTTTCGACTATCAGGTGTGTAAGCGGACGCTTTGAAATAATGACGACGAGTTGAGCTAACTTGGTGTGTGCAAAGTCGCTGATATTGGCGTGGCTTCCACGGGCGGATGGGGTGTTCCTCACTGACGACCCGCAGCAGCTCGTGCTGCAAGGGTCCGTTGCAGATATACCATTCGTCACTGGCGACTGTGATGACGAGGGCACATTGTTTTCTCTCTCTACTTTAAACATTACGTACGTAGCTGGCGCTTTCAGCCTCAACAAATATTCACCGTGTGCTCTTCTAGAAACAGCGACGACTCTGGCCTATATTCCTGGCTCAAGACGTACTGGTTGCCCAACGCCACCGAGTCACAGATCGAAGCGGCTATGGCGCTCTATCCGCCTGATCCCGCTGACGGCTCGCCATTCAACACCTCAGACCTGTACGCGCTTACCCCGGAATATAAGCGCATCGCCGCATTCCAGGGCGACGCAATTTTCCAGGGTCCGCGTCGGTTCTTCTTGGAGCACCAGTCGAGCAAGCAGTCTACGTGGGCGTTCCTGAGCAAGCGGTTCAAGTCGGTTCCTGTGCTTGGATCTGTAAGTCGTTATTTCCACCTACGCGAGGCCTGGAGAGCTTAAGTACTGAGAGCCACATGATTTTGACAGTTCCACGGCACGGACACTGTCAACGTCTACAATGGCGGTGACATGGCAGACTACCTCGTCCGCTTCGCGACGAACCTCGACCCGAATGGTGACACGGGCATCGAGTGGCCGCAGTACACGGTTAACTCGCCCAACTTGCTCACGTTCCTTGATGGGCTCGTACCGCTGGAGATTACGCAGGACACTTACCGTGTTGAGGCAATGGAGGGTATTACGAATTTGACGCTGGAGTATCCGATTTGAAGCGGGATTTATCGTCAGAAACGTATTTATCGTCTGGATTTGTTTATTAGTAATATGGATTCAATCGTGAATGAGATAGTCACCGAGGTTTAAAACACTACTGACGGTAAGCGACACGTCAACATGCACCACTGTATCATGACCTATGCTTACAATGATTGTAAAGGATGAGCCTCTCATCAGCGTATCGGGTTGGTGTACTCGGAATACACCCAGTGACCATGCTAAGTTAATTCGGTTTCCTCGTTAGCCAGGAAGTGAAAGTTGCAGGTGTTGCAAATCTGGGATTGCAATCATGTGGGTACATTTTGTTGGAATTATGTTCGGATCTCGCTCGCATCATGACGTGTCGTACGTTATCTTATTATATCCGAGATTTTTGTAGTATATAGATCTTGTCGTAGCTAGTCGAATCTTCACGCGATTGCCCTTCGGGCACCCTCTTCTTGTCCGGGACAAACGCGCTGTGCGTCGTCGCGAGCCCGTGCGACCTCGAATTTCTACGCATTTCAGCCTCTTGTTGGGCCCCAAATCTGTTTTTGAGAGACTTAGTTGGTGTATAGATGTTGGTGCTGAAATTATGGATACATAAGTACATCAGCGACCTCGGTGGAGGTCCGACAAATGTGGCTACCTGCGTACCTCCGTCCTTGCCTTCGTCGTTCACGGTACACTGTTACCCATTGACCGCTGACCAGCTGGGGCCGTTACTCCGGCGCCATCTACGTCGCCCTCCACCATGACATGTTCACAAGCGGAGGAGACACCGAAGGCCTCATCCGCGCTGCGTTCATGCAGTCCGGCTCACCAGTCGCCGTTGGTGACATTACGACTTTTTGGTCGACCAGACTGGATGCGTCAGCTCGAACGATACACTCGAGTGTCTCGTAGGCGTTGACCACGAGGCGCTGATGGATGCGATCAACGAGACGCCAAATATCTTGAACTACCAGTTAAATCAGCGACGAATAGGTTCTCAAAAAGGAGATAAACTAACCTTGACCACTCTTGCCAATTGTAGTCTCTGATATACGTGGATGACGGGGTGGTCGTCACTGACGATCCTCAGCGGCTTGTATCGCAAGGATCCGTCGCAGATGCGTCGTCTATTACCAGCGACTGCGCCGACGAGGGTACATTGTGCTCCCTCTTCACTTTGACCATACCGCAAGCAATCGTTGCACCGTTACGATTTTCTGAAAGGCTGAAAGGACAAGGCAAGGACCGTCCACCATCTAGAAGATAGATCTGATCATGCATTTACGAGGATACGCTTGCATTTACGATATCCCGACGAGATACTACGATACCATATTAATACACTCTTGGCTTTGAATCACGTTGGAGGTGATGGAGCAGTCGCTGGAACATCTTACATCACGCCAGGAACAAGCCTGTACCTCACCCTCTCCGCATACCTATCCCACTCATCCCCAAAGTTCTTTCTCAAAAACGCGTCCTCGACCTTGACCCTCGTCGTCGTCACCCACGCACAACCAAGAACCGTCAACGTCCACGCGATCACAACACCCGCCCGCACGCCCACCAGCCACCTCCCCACACCCGCACCCTCATCCACATCTACATTCAAACCCAAGTCCCCACTCATCAACTTAAACGCATCTCCCCGCAGCCACCCCCCAGGCGCGCCCAACACGAGCCCGAGCCCGAGCATCTCGAGCATCATAAAGCCGTAGCTCGGGTGTCGGGCCCACGCATAGGGCCCGCTCGTGACGAGCGCGTGGTTCGGGAGGAGCCCGATGTTGAATGTGAAGTGGCGGCCGAGGGTGCGGAAGCACCATAATCTGCCGAGGCTGCCGAGTGCGGTGAGGAGGGTGCCTGCGATGAAGGGGACGGGTGGCCAGGCGCTGCTGCCGCTGGGGCCTGGAGGAGTGGTGGTGGTGGTGGTGGTGGTGGTGGTAGATCTGAGGATGAGCGGGGTGTATGCGAAGGTGGGGAAGGTGTGTGCGATTGCAAGCGCGGTTTCTGCGAGCAAGGGGAGGGCGAGGGCGGTCTTTGGGGGAGAAAATATGGTTCAGTATCACGAGTCCACGACCGTCGTGATGAACGGCGGGACAGTACACTTACGTTCGCGAGGGGAATAATCAAGCGAACCGCCAGGTCATCGAACTTTGGCTTCTCAAAGCTGCTTGTCTTGATCTCCTGCTTCGTTGTCGTCGAAGGGTTCGGGTTCGTCGCCGAGAGATGGAACGCCGTGAACGCCGTAAGGTGCAGCCCGACTCTGAGCCACGACATAACGAGTGCGATGATGAGGATTTTACCTCCCAGGTGAGCTGAGCATCGCTGCGGGCGACACACATATAAGTACCCACCGACCCACCATATGTGTGGCGGTCATACTGCACCACCATTCCTGTGGTTGTGTGGATGCAGCCACTAGCGCGTCCGCTTCCACCCTCGGCTCTTGAACGCCATCTCACGTCGGGCGACACCCACCACGCGTAGATGGGTGGCCGATCCGCAGAGAGAGCAGGATGCTGCAGAGCCGTGAAAACCGGGGTCCTCATAGATCCGCCAGAAAGATAACGCAGGAGGCGCGTATTAGCAAACTCTCTCAAACTTGACCGGCGTGGAAGAATCGGGCAGACGGAATGTCCAAGGGTGCTGCATTGGATACCCCAAGTATTCTTACAGTCCACGACTTTACCGTCGGTGTACCCTACAATATACCTGCACAGGTCCAGTCAGATCAGTTTGAACGCCAACCATTACGAATCAGATATGATTTACGCACCGCTAAATAACCCCCAGCAAATGAACCGTCCTACATGTCTCCCTTCGCAAGCGCGGCCGCGATCTCCTGCTTAAACGCCATGAGCGCATCCCACGCCTTCCCACTCGTGATACTGTCCCTCGCCTTCGCGACCCCGTCCTTGTAATCGTTCGCAACGCCCGCAACAACCAACAGCGCCGCCGCATTCATCAGCACAAAATCGAGCACAGGCGTCAGCTCCTCCGGGATATCGCTCCCGCTCGTCAACAGCCTCCTAAACGTCTCCGCATTCTCCTCCGGCCCACCGCCGCTCACCGCGCTCAGCGGATGCGCCGGCAGCCCAAAGTGGCTCGGATGCACAGTGCCGGCGTGGATCGACCCGTCCTCCCTGAGCTCCCACACCCACGACGTGCCCGCGCAGCTGATCTCGTCCAGCCCCTCCGTGCCGCTCACCACCAGCGCGCGCTGCACGCCGCCCGCTCTCAGCGACTGCGCGAACGTGTACCCGAGCTCCTTGTCCGCGACCCCGAGCACCATCCCGCGCGGGCGCGCGGGGTTGATGAGCGGGCCGAGGACGTTGAAGAGCGTGCGGAAGGGGAGCTGTTTGCGGACGGGCGCGAGGAGCGCGAGCGCGGGGTGGTAGTGCGGGGCCAGGATGAATGCGAATGGGACGCGCGAGATGGGGAGCGCGGTGCCGGCCTTTGGAGGGGCGGGGTACAGGCAGCCGAGGCGCTCGAGGAGGTCGGCGGAGCCGGACGCGGAGGTGGAGGCGCGGCTGCCGTGCTGTTATGGTGCCAGCATACAGGACGATGCGATGATCGCGGGGACATATCGCGATGTGTAGGATAGACGTGAAATTATGAGCTCGGAAAGACAGAAAGACCAGATCCTCAGAGCGCACCTTGACAACCCTCGCGCCCGCACCCGCAGCAACAACACTCGCCGTCGTGCTCACATTAAACGTATCGTACCCGTCCCCGCCCGTACCCACAATATCCACGATAAAATCCTCCCCGCTGCCCTCGATCGCCGCCTTGAGCGCCCGCTCGCGCAGGACCTCGGCGGCGGCGGCGAGCGACTCGGGGCGGCGCTCGACACGGTGGACGTGGAGCGCGGTGAGGAAGGCGCCGACCTGCGCGGGCGGGACGAGCTCGGGCGTGAAGATGTGCGCGAGCGCGGCTTTCAGGTCGTCCGGGGTGAAGTACTCGGGTGTTTTGACGAGGCGCTCGAGGAGCTGTTTAAAAGTTGCTGGTGTTGGGATTTGTGCGTCTGCCATGGCTTATGGAGGTGTACAGGCTAAGAAGGGAAGAGATCTGAAGAAAACGGAGGGTGATGGACGTTGATGGTGACCTGGGCAATGGAGGTGAGGGTGTGAGTCATGTTGCGCAAAGATCAGGTCGCTATAAACCAGCTTTGTGTACAAAAGCCTGAGCCTGTGATATGTCTGATACGTGGTGATCGCAGGCGTCCAACTTGCCAATAAAACAGGGGCGTTGATGCTAGACGCCGGATCAGTTGACGACGCCCACGCTCGCCGCATTGCATTATACAGCAGACTCCGTAAGTCCAAAGCGCACCGCGCCTCTATGATATAAGCGTAGTCACAAGCTACACTACACTCTACAGTTATCCAAATTGAAAATGAGGATATCCTCCGCCCCGATCCTAACGAGCTCGTCCATCACCCGCGCCACCTCCTTCTTGATCACCATGCTCTTCACCGCGACCCAGTTGGGCTCCTCCAGCGGGCTCACCGTTGGCGCCTTGCGCCCGGGCGCGATCTGCCGCGCCTCGGGCAGGCGGTCCCGGTTGATGTTGTACTCGCACACGACGTATTTGCCCGCCGCGACGACGCCCGCGATGCGCGACGAGATCAGCGAGATCAGCGCGGTGTGTTCGGCGTGTTTGGGGGTGGAGGAGCGGATGAGGACGGCCTCGGTCTCGAGGATGGTTTCGATGGCGTGCAGGCCTGCCGCGCGCATTGTGTCCCCGGATTCTGTGCGCATAGCGTAGGTGAGCATCGGGCGGTGTGGAGTGATGGGGAGAGAGAGAGAGATGGGGCGTACCGACGAGATCGACTGTACAAAAAGGACACCGCGTTAGCGCATATACCTAGCACCCAAGCATCCAAAAGACGCACCAATCCCATCCGCAAGCCCGAGCGAACACGCAGCCTCGACGCTCCCCCCAACATACTGTATCCGCGTTTTGCTCTCCCCAACCAAGCCCATGCTCGCGTCGATCTTGTCAAAGTAAGCGCCAGCGAGGACCTCGAAGCTCGTGACGACGCGCTTGCCCGCCAGGTCGTTGACGCTCTTGATGGGCCCCGCCTCGGGGGCCTGTACCTGCAGCTTGCACCTGCCGAACCCGAGGCGCTGCACCTCCGCGACGCGGTCCTCTATCGCAGCCTCGAGAATGACGTCGTGCCCCGTTATGCCGAGGTCGACGTTGCCGTTGCCGACGAAGGAGGGGATGTCGGATGCGGGGAGAAAGACGCTGTGATGGTGCAAAAACAAGAGTCAGAAGGAAACGTTGTCGAGCGCATATATGCGTCTATGGCAGAGAGAGAGCGCATACAGAGCCAGCGGGTGGTTCATGGCGAGCGCGACATCGAGCCTGTTGTGTCGTCGGAATTGTATGTCCGCGCCTGTTGTTCGACCCCTTTAGCATCCCCTCGATCTACCGCCTCTGAGCATTGAAGGGATAACGCACCAGCGAGCAGCTCCATGCACTTCTCGTGCAGTCTTCCTGACATGAACACATCGATCAGTCTCCTCCACTTGCATTCTTGAGAACAGGTTGTTAACCTTTCTTCGGGATCGCAAAGAGCAGCCGTCCGTTAAGTGCATCTGCGTCTGCCAGTACCGGTGCCAACAACAATGTAGTGCGCAACTGATCAATGCAACGCATCAGCGGGATCTCTGCAGACTGCTCACTCATTTTGAATGCTCAGAGGGCGTTCAGGTATTAACTGCGGGTCTGAGCTTTTGTGAGGTGGTATATCAAGGGAGGAGAAGTGGGCGGCCGTCGTTGGATTTTTGGGTGATCGAGTCAACGAGGTTGTGATCCCGAAAATGGCGGATATACAGTTCGGCCGAGGTCTCCACGTGCGCCGGATCTGTTCGGAGGATCGGGTAAACTGTTCCGGCTGTTGCGACCGTCTTGAGTTTGTTGCAGCCAAATATTGCTAATTTTAAAAAGCAGTTATCAAACGAAGTTGAGGAATCTACAGAAGTAGGGCAATATATAGTTGAA